ATCAGCTGCTTGCCCACCGCCTTGCCGATGTGGGGATTCGGGGACTTGCTTTACAGTGGCTTGTCTCCTTTCTCCAGGGTCGGGGACAAAGGGTGGCTCTCGGGGAGAAACTATCTCGAAGGCACCCACTAATTTGTGGGGAGCCACAAGGTGTGGTACTCTCCCCAATGTTATTTAACATCTATATGCGCCCCCTTGCCCAGATTGCCTGGAGGCATGGGCTGGGTTGTCACCAATATGCGGATGACACCCAGCACTATCTGCTGTTGGGCGGCCAGTCGGGCTCTACCCCGGAAGACCTGGGCCGGGTGCTTCAGGATGTGGCGGGATGGCTGAGGCTGAGCCGATTGAAATTGAATCCGACGAAGACGGAGGTCCTGTGCCTGAATCTGAGCGGTTCCGGGGTGGGAATCCCATTGCTGGCCTTCGATGGGGCGCCGTTGGTGCCAGCGTTGCGGGTCCGGAGTTTGGGAGTGCTCCTGGATGCCTCCTTAACAATGGAGGCCCAGGTAGCAGCCACTGCCAAGGCAGCCTTCTACCATCTTCGGTTGATTAGGCAGTTGGTTCCCTTCCTCGAGCGCAAAGATCTGGCGTCAGTGATCCATGCTATGGTCACCTCGAGGTTGGATTACTGTAACGCTCTCTACATGGGGCTGCCCTTGGGGCAACTTCGGAAGCTGCAGCTGGTGCAAAATGTGGCGGCCAGGCTGTTGATGGGCCTCCCAATGCGGGAGCACATCCAGCCTGTGCTAAAGGTGTTGTACTGGCTGCCAATAGCTTTCCGGATCCGCTTCAAGGTGCTGGTTTGTTTTTTTTAAAAAAACAATTTTATTTAGGATATCGTCACTCATATTCAACAATTGTAATACATTTTCATCCTACCCTCCTCCCTTCCCCCCCCCCATGGCTTCCCATAGTGGTTTTGACCTTTAAAGCCCTGTATGGTCCGGGACCTGTCTACCTGAGGGACCACCTTTCCCCGTATGTCCCCCAGAGAGCTCTGAGATCTGGGATGCAACATCGCCTGACCCTTCCTGGCCCTAAAGAGGCCAGATTGACAACAACTAGGTTTAGAGCATTTTTGCTAGCTGCACCAGCATATTGGAACGAGCTCCCTAGTGAGATCCACGCCCTGCGAGATCTCCAGCAATTTCGCAGGGCCGTGAAGATTGAGCTTTTCTGCCGGGCATACCAGTGAGAGCGATGGTATGCCAGCCAAGCCTGCCGACCTCCTAAGACATGTATTTTGTATAAGTAGTTAGCAATGTGGCCGAGGTCCAGTCGTAATGATTTACCGAACCGCTTTTACTTATATTTATTGTATTTATGTAAGTTGTTTTATGGATTAATGTTTTATCTATGTTGGTTTTATTAATGTTGTGAGCCGCCCTGAGCCACTTTGGCGGAAGGGCGGGATAAAAGTTGAATAAATAAATATAAATAAATAAATTTTAATTTTATTGTATTAACTAAATTTTGTATAAATGAAGTGTTGTTACCTGCCCTGAGCTCATTTCTGAGAGGGGCAGGCTATAAATGTGAATAAATAAATAAATAAATAAATTCAGTATTGTCTTCTCTGACAGGCTGTAGTTCTCCGGGGTCCCAGGTGGAAGTCTTTAGCATCACATACTACCCAATCCTTTTAACAGGAGATGCTGGGGATTGAACCTGGATCCTTCTGCATACAGAGCAATTGCTTTAGAACTGAGCCATGGCCTCTCCTCAACAGTGAACAGTCACACAAACAACAGTAATTTACTGACTTTCAAGTTAGCACAAGGCATAGCATCCAAACGAGGAAACCATGGTTGGCACCTCCAGCTCCAAACCTGGACTGTAAACCTGCCCACAGAATACCACCTATGGTCTGGCATCACATCTGAACCACCCTGCTGAGTGATGTGGGAGCCCACCCCTATAAAGCAGGAAGTGAAAGAGAAAGCACTCCTGACAGGGTGGTCGGTAAAAGTGAGGGGAAGGGAAAACTTTAACACATAGCTGAGAATTACTATGATGGAATACTGTGCTAGAATACACTGATACTGAACTGCGATTTCAGCAGTTTCCCCAATACTTAGCTATAAGTGAGCATTAAGACCCAAGGAAGCATAAATAAGGGGGTTTCCAAAGTGTTGCAGTCAACTTTTTTGGTGTTATTATAAACTGTAACCCCAGTCAGAAACTTTAACTTTTCCTTTCCCTGTATAAAATATACCAGTTTGGTGTAGTGGTTAGGATCGTGGACTCTAATCCGGGCGAACCAGGTTTGATTCCTCACTCTTCCACATGCAGCTGCTGGTGTGACCTTGAATCAGTTATAAATTCTTTCAGGGCTGTTCTCTCAAAAAACAGTTCTTTCAGAGCTGTCTCAACCCCACCTACCTCACAGGGTGTCTTGTTGGAGGGAGGGGGAGGGGAAGGAGATTGTAAACTGCTCTCCTTTGGGTAGTGAGGGGTGGGGTATAAATCCAATCTGTTCTTCTTCGTCTTCTCTTTTCTAATCTCTTTTAAAAGCCTAAAAAAAGAGTGTTTTTGAAATTCTCTATATTTTATAGACAGATTTGGAAAATGCCTTCCCTAGAAAACAGACTAAACGGGGCAATGAAATACTTCATTATAAGAACCAAAAAAACTGGTGGAAACACAAAACAGAAGCTTAATTCCAATGCTTTAAATCTGACCATGCTGAAGAACAAAGTATCATCTCTTCCTCTTAACATCTAAATACTGTAATTAAGTCTCCCACCTTCAAGAAACCTAGTCTATTATAAATAATCTGGTGCTATATAGAAATCAGTGTCAGGCTATAGAAATGAAATGCGACACATGGGAACGGCAGACTTTACTTTGGCACTTTAAACTCAAATGCTTTTGCCAGAATCCTATTTCTTGGTTGCTCTTTAAAGCTGCTGTCACTCTACAAGCTGAAATCTTACTTATATTGCTAAACCCCATTTTAAAATTGCTTAGCTTGTGCCAAATAATAATAAAAAGGTGTCCAAAGTACAGTACTTCTGTTCACTTTCAAGGACATTTATTAAACTATTATAGAGCAGAAAATCTCTGATTTAGCCTCTTGCAAACTGTCAGCAAGTCTGTATTAGCTAGCCCAAATGATGACCCCCTTATCTGAATACCTACTGAGCAATGGAAAATAAAATACAAGCTAAAACCTCATTCCATGGCAACTTCTGAATTAAGAGGAACACAACCTAGAAGACAAAGCCATTTGTTGAACATGCTGCCTAATGGAAAAAGATCTGTCACCTGAATTTCACTAGAGTCTGGTTCTTTCCTCGTCCGGCCTATTGTAGTTGTGTCGCCTCACTAGCTGCACATTTTCCATTTCACTTTTTTAGTAGATCTTTGCCTCTGACAAAATCCTCATTTCCTGCTCCTTTGAACGCAACCCAGTTCTCAAAATCTCTGTTGGCTTAGTTGCCTTTCACATCAAATTCATTTTTATATTTTAAGCTCCAGTTGCACATAGCCTTATTGCCCCTCTTTTCCTCCCATCTCCTCTTTGGTTTCCTGTTCCACTTTCTGCACTGCGACTATCCCAAAAGCACTCCTAAAAGCCTTGTTGTAAACACTGCTTTCCTCGCTTGTGTTCCAACTTAACCAACCCCCTATCTTTTCTTTCTCGCCATCTGTCATCTTCCTCTCTTGATGCATGAACTCCTTGATGGATAACGCCTCCACATGTGCTAAACCACTCTCCATGCCACTTGCTTCCTTTATCTCTCTTCTACCTTCATGCCAGTCAAGTTTCTCCTCGTTAAAACCCACACAGCCTCTCTTAGAATCACCATTACTTCAGTAACTGGTTAACTTTCCCTTGCTACTCCTTCACCAAGCCCGGTTTTCAATCCAGTTTACAGAAACTATATAAGAACTCTTTTTTTTTTGGTGGTCTGTGCAGTACAATGCACATTGCCAGCATAGGCTGAGATGTATGTTCATTGATTATCTGGGTAGCCTAGCGGCTGCTCCTGTAAGACAAAGAGGCTGTGTCTGGCACACTCACAGGTGGGAGGACATTCCGGGAGAAACAGGCAGGCGGTAAGGATCCTGCTTACCCCTTTGCCCTACCCTGGGATTCCATGCCTATGTAATGTGGCAGAAACATGCGACGTAAACCCTGGCCAGGGAGAGAGTTGCAGGAAGAAAGCAACTGGTGAGGAAAAGGTTAATGAGACAGCTAATGTGGTTTGAACACATGAATCTGCCTCTTTCTAAGTCAGGCCATTGGTCCATCAGAGTCATTACAGTCTACTCAGACTGGCAGCAGCTCTCCGGGATCTTGGGGATAGTCATACACACATAAACCTTAATTGGCATGTTAACAATCACAGAATGAGATTAGGGACAGGCCTTTCACATCACTTACTAGTGGATTGGTTTAATGGAAATTATGAGGATTAAACCTGCAATCTGCATTTTACTGCTGAGCCACAAGGTGTGTAGTTTGTCAGCCTAGAATCGGGGAGCGCCAGGTTCTAATCCTGATTTAGCCATGAAGTTCACTGGGTGGGCTTGGCCAGTTACTCTCAGCCCACCTTCTCTCTCCTAGTTCTTGTGTAGATAAAGTGGGGAAGGGGAGAGCCACTCTGAGCTCCTTGGAGGATAAAAACAGATCAATAAACCTCTCCTTTTGCCTGCTGCTTTTTCCTTGCAAGTTGTCTCCCCATCACGTTTTTCTTTGAGACAGTAGCCACTGAACATGCAGATATTCTGAATGCTTGCCAAGTTGCCATACACAGTTATGGGTATGGAAAAACTCTGCCTTCACTCAAGCTCTTTTAACTTCTGTGATTTGTTAGTTTCAAGGGCGAAGTCAGAATGTGAAAAAACAACAACCCAACATAAATGCACAAGGAGAACTGAAACTTTATATTCATGTGAATTTGACCTGTACAGAAGCAGCACATATTGCTAAGTACTTAAAATTTCATCAGTGTTAAAAGATTCAGCAATCATAGGTACAGTTAACTTTTAATGAGGCCAGACGGCTCTTCCTGTGAAATGGTTGCTTTAACCATGACTTGTGCAAACAGTTTTGGGGGGCTTTTCTTCCCCTCAAAATCCCTTAATCGTGCAATTGTTCACCATGTCAAAAACGACTGAGCTGTTATCATTAGAAAGAGTTGAAAAAGAATTCTGCAATAAAATATTTCAGTATTAGGCCACATGATTTATTCAGTAGTGTTTATGTTCCCAAATTACAATTTCTGTCTATCCATGTAAGACTACAAAAGTTACCATTAGAATTGTCTGTGCTTATAAAATACCAACATTTTCTCTTTTTTTAACTGTTATATACTCATTAACACCAGTCTGCAACAAGTTACATAGAATCATAGGCACTTCAAAGGCTTTAAAAGACGTTTACAACTTAAATGCATTTTTGAAGAACAGGAAAAAAAATTAATCCCTACTCGTACCTTCAAATTGCCAAAAATTAACAAACAGTGGCCATATAACTTTGCAGCAACTTCTCAGAATACTGTTCAGAGTCTTTGGGTTGGTGGAGGCTAGTCAGTAGCTTACTACAAATCTCCCATAAAGAAGATTTATTTTGTAAGGGCATGACTATGCAGTTTGCAATAATAGTCCGATTTTACACATTAATTTGCTGCTGTAAGTTTCAATGAAGTTACAGGAACATTGAGGAACAAAGCAAGGTGTAAAATGGATTTCCTGACACTAAAATTCATACAAAGTGGAGGTTAAAGTTTACATAGCTGAAAAAATACATTTACACTAAAAGCTACCATTATCTGAATTATCCGAAGACAGATTGCACCTTGACAACTACAAAAAGGCATTTTTTTTGGAAACAGATAAATTAATGAAATAAAAACTAACTTGTAAGATCAATCAGACATGCTGACAAAAATTAAACAACTTTCCTCGAACCATAGGATAAAACAATCATTTTCATTTATGCATAAAGTTTTTTTTAAATGATTCGGTGAACAGCAATGGCGATATAAAATAATGTTTTGCCACTGTTATTCACAGAACACTGCAAAATGTTAGGATTTTAACTTTACATTTTCTTAAAAGGAATACATGAAAAGTTTTAAATACAATGGGGGTCTTTTTTATCATAAAGGTGCCATAAAGGCTCTTTAATGAACAAAAAAGTTCTTCATTATTCTATGCAAAAAAAAAAAAAAGCTTTATTTAAAAAGTTCAGTGATCTCTTAAACAGAGACACTAAGTTGAGAGTTTTATGCATAAAACTCTTTAGTAGGTGCCTTCTGGTAAGCAGCACTGGATGGTTTACGTTCCCCAAGGTCATAGCTGCCTTCGTCCTTCTTCCTCATGCGATATACCAAGAGTAAGATCAGAAAGACTGCAAAGAGAAAACCAATAACTCCACCCGCAATAACAGCTGAAAAAGAAACAAAAGAGACACAGTAAATTTCAGAAGGAATGCCAAGGAATGATGCATACTTCCAATCTGTTGCTCCCTGAGTAAAATTAAATATATTGTGCTCTTTCCATTAAAAGAAGGTTCAGAAGTAACACACATTGTCCACAGTAATGTTTCATTCACTTAAAAAACACTGTTCAGTATGTGACTCAATTGGGTTCTTAAAAAAAACGGAGACCATTAAAAATAACTGTTTCATAGCCAAAATAAATCCAATATCCTCAAAGGCTTTCAACAGGAGATTAGAAGCTGTTCTTAACATTATGACAGCCCAGCTCCTAAATACTGGAAGCTAAGTCCTACTGCATTCAAATGGACTTTCAGCCTAATACATGTACTTAGATTTGAATTCTTAGGGCCAAAAGTGGACACGGATACAGAGGGATACCAGCTTCCAGATGGGACCTAGGAATCCCTTGGATTTACAGGTCGTTTCCAGACTACATGGACCAGTTCCCCTGGAGAAAATGGATGCTTTGGAGGGGTGGACTCTATGGCATTGTACCCCACTAAAGTCCCTGTCCTCCCCAAATCTCCAGGAGTTTCCCAACCTGGATCTAGCAACCCTGCCCCCCATCCCCCACCAGTGGCCACAGGGAACCTGGCACCCCTACGGATACATGAACATATAAAGCTGCCTTGTACTAATTCCAACCATCAGTTCATCAAGGGCAGTACTGTCTACTCGATACAGTCCCCCCCTTCATATATACTGTGAGAGATGCATATGGGTCTATTTTTCAATACAAATGGAGCATGAGGGGCAATCCCCCTCCTTTCTGTGTTTTGTCTCTTGACAACCTCAGCTCCAAAGCTGGAAACAAGCTGGGCTGGAAAACAGCAAAGTTGAAGTGGCAGGAGACACAGGTTAAAGCTCCTCCCTCCTCCACTTGATATGTGGACATGGATATAAATATTCCACCCCATGCCATCATGTCTAATTTGGGACTGGACCACTAAGTGGCAGCAAGATATGAGATATGGAAATACTGCCATCTTCTTCCATACTATGTCTCAAGGAGACAAGTTTCCCAGTGTTAATATCATTAAGATATAATAAAATGACACCTGATTAGGGATGGGCATGAACTGGCTCACGGACTACAGTTCTGCATGAATTTTGGCTGGTTCGTGGTTCGTGAACTGATGAGCCACCTTGAATGTTCACGAATTTTAAGGTAGTTCATGGTGGTTCATGAAGCAGAAAAAGCAGGGCTTAAATGGCTCTGAGCCATTTAAACCCCTGCTTTCTGCTCCCTGCCACTCAGCTGTTTGGTATAAATGACTCAGAACCATTTAAACCCGTGTTCTGCTTCCTGCAAAAAGTGGCAGGGATTAGAAAGCAGGGGTCACGAACTGATATGAATCGGTTCAGTTCATGAACCAATACTGAACCACAAACCGAAAAGATGTGGTTCATGCCCATCCCTACTCCTGATGTGCATTTAAAGGGAAAAGGACAATTAAGGGAGGATTTGCACAACAGAATGTGTGGTTTCCTAGACTGCGGAAGAAAACGGTATTGGGAGGGGAAGAGTAATAATCTGCAGATCTTACAGGTCAGAAAACAAGTAAACCAACCACCCTGGCGATTCATTTAACAACACCTGAGGTCCCACTTATCACTGTACTCAAAAGCTGAGTTCTATGTGAAGCTGACTCCTACAGGTATGACAATGATAGTAAAAGGTATGAGTATCAAGCTATATATTTTCACAACAGAGAACCTGGCAGCCCCCTCACTACTTCTTAGAGAACTGCAGAGCTTTTTATCCATAATACTCACCTGCCAGTACTTCTGTTCTCTGGAAAAGGTTTTCTGAGTGTTTTTGAGTGACTACATCTGTGTCTTCACCAGGCTCAGTTTTAGTATTTTTATTTTCAGCCTTAGGCTTCAGTATCTTCTTTTTATCAGTCTCATCAGGTGCCTACAGCACAAAAAAGGCACTGAGTCAAGTCAGTGATATATAAACACTAATGACACATACAGACTTTTCCAAATGATACAACACAGCACAGCAAGTTCAACACTGTTCTAATTACTTAGAATCTTAAATGCAGGACTTCTGGGAGAACTAGAGGAAAAGGATAATCATTTCTAATTTATAGCTGGAAGCCCCAGAACCTCTCTCAAAGTTATGATTCAATTCCATCATAAATATATGAAATATATAAAATACACTTATGAAATAAGATTACAGCTACTGATCAGATTTACTACAATGATCTTGTATCTAAAGGTAAAGGTAAAGGTTCCCTTGCTCGAAAGCCAGTTGAATCCGACTCTAGGGTTGCGTTGCTCATCTCCGTTTCAAAGCCGAAGTGCCAGCGCTGTCCGAAGACGTTTCCGTGGTCATGTGGCCGGCATGACTAAACACCAAGGCGCACGGAACGCTGTTACCTTCCCACCAAAGTGGTACCTATTTATCTTGCTTTCGAACTGCTAGGTTGGCAGGAGCTGGAACTAGAGACGGGAGCTCACTCCGTCATGTGGCAACTCGGGTCTCAAACAGCTGAACTACCTACCGATCTTCCACAGCCTGCAGTTCAGCGTCTTAACCACTTGAGCCACTGCAGCTCTTGTATCTTGTATCTAACCATCTTCAAATCTACTCTACAACGTATGGCACAAAAAACATTTTCGGGGGAGGGGATGCTATCTAAATTTGATGCTTGAATAGAAAGATCTGGCCGGGGGGGGCCTCTCCAAGTAATATAGAACCCTTGATTTTAAACAGGGAAATATTTTTTTTAAAGATTTCCAGTACTTCCCGTTAAAATCAAAACAAGATTTCCACTACTTCCCCTTAAGGCCTATACTTCTGTCATTTAACAAGCATGGGTTTTGGCAACAAATACAACAGGAAACCAATACCTGCTTCTAACCATAAGAATGGACCTTCTAGCTAGGAAGAACTGCTTCATAACTTTTTCTGTGAGGTCAGTGGTTTCAAAATAAAAGACCAATGTTATACATTTATTTTATTTAAAATGTTTTGACATTTAGGAAATGAACAATTTCATTTATTTTTATTTAAAACATTAATAGCTGCTATGATGTAAAATGGAATTGTCTTTATGGTTAATCCACAGCTTTGCACTAGTTGTAGGAAATTTCAAATACTCTTAAAGTGTATACCAAATTGCATTTGGAGCTATACTATAATAGTGCAATTTTTAAAAAGAACACAAAAACAACTGGCACACACCTTTGTTTGCAAAGGTACCTTGGTCTGCGTTTTCAATGTATTTCTCTCCGTTCTAGGGGCATCGCTAGTTGGTGGTATCTTTGGAAGTGTTCTATATGTTGTTGCTATAATCGTGTCATCTCCTTCTTCTTCAGCCCCTAAAGCATTTTGAATAGTATTAGTTCTGTACACATTTGTCACAACTCTAATTATTTCTTTTAGTTTTGAAGATTCCAGTTATAATGAGATCTCGAGGATGCTTATAATCAAAATTGTTAAAAACAATCATAAACATCACAATAAAAATATTAAAAGTGTCAGGCCAGCATCCTCAATATCTAAAGTAACAACAAAACATTCAACCAGTCTTCTCATTTACTTATTATGTGAAATATTTATACTCCGCTTTTCCCCAAAAGGGCCAAGGCAGTTCCCAAAATATGTCAACAAGCATCAATTAAAACATTCATCAGAAGTAATAAAACAACCATCAAGAGTCTCCAAGAGGGCCCTGGAACAGAAAAGCATTTGCTGTCTTTCTGAAAACCATGAGCGAGTGAGCATGCTTATCAGAGCATCTAACAACAGAAAAAAATTCTGCTCTTTCTACTAGTGAGCCTGATCTCCAGAGACAGCAGCATTTAGAGCCAAACTTTGTCTGATAGCCTGCACAGGAAGGTACAGGTGGGACCTAGTGGCTCTGGGGTGCAATGTTAAGAGCTGGAAACCATTCCCCAGTGCTACAATGAATGGGGCAGTTCTTTTTGTCAAGACAACCAGCAGAGCACTGCAGAGCTCCACTTCGCAGTCTCAATACCTTTGCTGCTGCATAGCTGTCATAGCAATTGTTGTCCTGTTACTTATAAAAGGCCGCTATGGTATATAAAAATCGCCACTGGATTTTCTTCCCCATCACCAGTGGGGTGTATGTGTCTCTCTTATTCTTAAAGATATCAAAAGGGATCTTTTGTGTTTGCTTCATGCCTCTTCTAGTCCCCCCCCCCCAAGTAGTCCATCCTTCTCACTTTCTTTTGAAGGCTAGGATAAAAAAAAATCATACAAATATTTATTGGGCAACAGGCCTCTCCCCCTCCATGGCCCCAAACTGTTTTGTAGAAACAGGAGGGTTTTCAAAGGTTGTTGGCTAATATGCCATGGGGGAGGGGGGGAGGGCAGGAATTAGGTCTGCTGCTCTTAGAAGGAAGGAAATAAAACATGTCGCTGGATATGGCCAAAGCAGCTCTTTAGATGCTGCCAGCAAATAACTAAAGGGAGCAAAAACTGCTACCAAAATCACCACAGCTAGAGCCAAATGAATACAAAAGGTCGCTTAACCGCTTCAGATGAATAAACATTATCTTGGCTCAGCTAGAAAGCCGCAACTCCTCTCTCCAGTGTGTAGGAATCTCTTTTCCAAGGGGAGCATTCCAACGTGCAAACAGCCTCTGCAGCTTTAAGGAACAGTTCCACCACCCAAATTGCTGTATTTGCAGACTAGCTGTTAATTATTCTGCTGCCGGCTGATCCACAAGGGCTAAGTTTATCTTGTGGAATTTATTTAGCTGCAAAAGGAATGATTTATTTAGCTGATATCAGACTGATTATCTTGTGACTCCTTTACATTGAAACCCAAGCAGTCATTACATTTTCTCTTATCTCCATAACTGATTGGATTCCCATTAGATGTGCCTGGTCGTGCATGGCTTTCTAAGTTTAATTTTCCATTAAGCCGGTTGTTTGGGGCGGGGGAGGCTACATGAAGCAAGCAGTCTGTTATGGCCATTTCATATCTAATACATTAACCAATTATTCAACACCACATCCCTATTCTGTCTCATCCATCATTTTACTGAATAAATCCAACAAAATGTAATAGTTTAAATCTGTGTTTTATCGCCACATCTAAACCTTAAAAATACAATTGACCCAACAAGACATTTCAGTAAAATTCAGCAATATTGTATGCATTCATAAAAACCATTGAGACTACTATAATGGGGAAGAAGTAGAGCTCCATTGTTCATAAGCATGCACTCAGCAACCTCCTTAAATCCCTCCATCTCCTCTCTTCGTGAGTTCCACAAGCCAATTATGCACCGTGTGAAGAAGCACTTTTGTCTTCCTTGAATGTAATGCTCATTACATTCCCTTGGGTGTCCTTGAATACTATTCTGGGAGAGGGAGAAAAATTCTGTCTATTTGCTCCATCTATACATTTAATAGCAATATGTGGCTCCCATCTGTGGATATCTGAATCTGTGAATTGGGGCCACACTGACACTAAACGGATTTTCCTGCAGACTTGAAAGAGACTCCACCCCCACCCCGGTTTGCAGAAAAATCTGATAACTTTAAAACAAAACAAAACACGGGGGGTTAAATTTCCCTCAAAATGCATGTGCAGACAATGCGGTTACTGTGATTCTGTGGCAGCAGCCATGTGGAGCCGCTCTGGGCCAGGGGCCAGGGAGGCTGGGAGCCACTCCCAGATGCTGCCACCACTGCAGCTAGCCTCAGAGATGGGTTGTGGGGCCTGGAGCTGCATTGGACTTGACAATAGGGGGGAGATGGGATCCCCCGAGTCTTGTGGGGCCCCCCACCTGTATTATGTATAATTTTAAAAACTTTTATCACAATTCCCCACCACCACCCAGCTTTCTTTTAGACAGAATTAAAAATTTCCTCGTAGGGGAAAGTGTACCAACCCCTTGATCATGTTGGTGGCCCTTTTCTTCCTATGAACATAAGAACATAAGAGATGCCGATGTTAGATCAGGCCAAAGGCCCAACCAGTCCAACACTCTGTATCACACAGTGGCCAGAAATACCAGTGCCATCATGAGGTCCACCAGTGGGGCCAGGACATTAGAAGCCCTCCCACTGTTGACCCCCCCCCCCAAGCACCAAGATGACAGAGCATCACTTGCCCCAGAGTCCCTATCTATACCTTGTGGCTAATAGCCACTGATGGACCTCTGCTCCATATGCTTGTCTAATTCCCTTTTGAAGCCGTCCATGCTTGTAGCCGCCACCACTTCCTGTGGCAGTGAATTCCAAGTGTTAATCACTCTTTGGGTGAAGAAGTACTTCCTTTTATCCGTTCTAACCCGACCGCTCAGCAATTTCATGGAATGCCCACGAGTTCTTGTATTGTGAGAAAGGGAGAAAAGTACCTCTTTCTCTACCTGCTCTTTCCCATGCATAATCTTATAAACCTCAATCATGTCACCCCTCAGTCATCGTTTCTCCAAGCTAAAGAGCCCTAAGCGCCTTAACCTTTCCTCATAGGGAAAGGAAGAAGGCAGACCTTCAAGTACCTGGGTCACCAACTGTTCAGGCCTTTGAAGGACAAAACCAGCACCTTTAAACCTGCATGAAAGCACACTCTTAGACAATGGAGATCTTTCTGCACTGGTGAAAATGTGGTTGGATTGGTACGTCCCAGTTAGTAATCTAGATGCAATATTCTGAACTGGCTGAACTTTCTGGGCAATTTTCAAGGGCAGCCTTATAGGAATCTAACCTGGATATTCCAAGAGCATGGATGGGGAAAAGTTTTCTCAATGAAGGAAGGGAGGATAGCTTGTACATGTCTAATCTCTTGGCTCTTTCTGCTCAATGAAGATAATTTTTAAAATTATGAATTCTAAGAATGCCCTGACTTGGACAGCCCAAGCTAGCCTGATCTCATCAGATCTCAGAAGCTAAGCAGGATTGACCCTGGCTAGTATTTGGATAGGACACCTCCAAGGAATACCAGGGTCATGATGTGGAGGCAGGCAATGGGAAACCACCTCTGACCATTTCTTGCCTTGAAAACCGTATGGGGGTCATAGGGTTGCCAAATGCATTTTGGCCGGGAGCGGGGGGCTCCCGGCCGGCATCTAATTTGTGCGCGCGCATCACCCGGAAGTGACGTCGCACGCTGGGGGCGGGGCCACGCCATTTGAGGGGAAAACTCTTTGTTTTCCCCTCAAATGGCATGGAGATCTCAGAAGCTAAGCAGGATTGACCCTGGCTAGTATTTGGATAGGACACCTCCAAGGAATACCAGGGTCATGATGTGGAGGCAGGCAATGGGAAACCACCTCTGACCATTTCTTGCCTTGAAAACCGTATGGGGGTCATAGGGTTGCCAAATGCATTTTGGCCGGGAGCGGGGGGCTCCCGCCCGGCATCTAATTTGTGCGCGCGCATCACCCGGAAGTGACGTCGCACGCTGGGGGCGGGGCCACGCCATTTGAGGGGAAAACTCTTTGTTTTCCCCTCAAATGGCATGGCCCCGCCCCCAGCGTGCGATGTCACTTCCGGGTGACGCGCGCGCGCGGGGGTGGGGTTTCCCCCGGGCCCGATTCCGCATGGGGCGGAAGTCAGGCCTTGAAAGCGGGGGGAAATCCGCCCCCCAGGGGGATTTGGGAACCCTAGGGGGTCACTGAAAGTCAGCTGTGACTTGACAGCAAAAAACAGCAACAAGAATTTTAGGTATGCAGCACATTGTATGAAAATATACTGAAATGGTCTGCACTTTTGTTTTGGAGGGCTTAACTGCTTCAGATGAGTAAACATTATTCTACTATTAGTCATGTTGACTAAGGTCTGCTTCACACACAGTACAAAATCCAGGTGTATAAATCCATCTGCAAAAGCCTGCAGAAGAATAGTACAGTGACACCTGCAGAGTGTATATTACATATTTTTCAACATGAGCACACTGGCTTACCTGAACCAGACCCAGAAGTGTAATCATCGTCATCAATTGGATAGACTCCTGATGCTTCTTCAATGGAGCTGTTGTCAAGGTACAGATCTTTATCAGAAGTCAATGCTGCTCTCTGGAAACAACAGTGAAACACCAGAAAATTCATTACAGCTTTGCAAAGAGAGGTCTTCTAATTCAATTTAAGCTGTTAAGCCAGGGACAGTAATTCTTGCAATAAATACCAAGTGAGCAACAGTTTTTAAAATATCAGTTCCTTTCTGTTATTTATAACCATATTTTTACTCTGTCTTTCTGTTGGGGTCGCCAACTCCCTGTTGGGAAATTCCTGGAAATTTGGGGTGCAGCCTGGGGAAGGTGGGGTTTGGGGAGGGGAGAGACCTCAGTGGGGACGTGATGCCATAGATCCCGCCCTCTGAAGCTGCCATTTTCTCCAGGGGGTATGGACTCTGGGGATCAACTGTAGTTCATAGAGATGTCTAGGCTGGCCCGTAGCTAACATGGGTCCCACGGGGCCCAGCCCCCTTGTGTTTCTTCTGGGCCCCCTCCCTCCTGGGCTGCCCCCAAAGTGCTCCAACTTACCACCTGCACTGTACTTCCATTTAATTAGCTGGTAGGCCCCCCGAGGCCCCCTCCCAAAGAATTCCCTAGCTACGGGGCTGTGTCTAGGCCCCACCCGGAGGTTGGCAACCCTACCTTCCATCCGTTACTGAATTTGCTTTGCAGTTTACCCTAAAATTTAAGCATACTGCAAACAAGCAACAAGCCCTGACCTGGAGAGCCCTGGCTGGCCTGATCTCATCAGACCTCAGAAGCTAAACAGGGGCAGCTCTGGCTAGTATTTGGATACCAGGGTTGATATGCAACGGCAGGCAGTGGCAAACCATCTCCGAAGGTCTCTTGCCTTGAAAACCTCACGGGGCTGCCCTGTCAGCTGTGCCTTGGTGACACTTTCTACCACCATCCCAACAACAGTTTAAAGTTCTTTAAATCTAGGGAAAATTTGAAATTCCGGTTCTGTTCTCAGGTGTCTGCTTTTAGACTTTTCGAGGGGAAGAGGGGAAAGGAACAGGAGGTCTACCGTTGAAGTCTGACAACAGAGACCAACTCGTAAAACAGCCAATGTACATGAAGAGTGCCTACTAGCTTAATTAGAGACTAAAACAATGATATTTCATAAAGAAAATACCCTTTGAAGCAAAAGGAGGATGAGGGGACAAAGTGACTATCCCTTAGACAACAGGGTGCCACTGCAGGAGGGCAAATTAAAGAGTGGGGGGGGGGCATCTGTAGAAGAACGAAGATGACAAGTTCTGAGCTTGACTGAGATTATCCATCAAAGCCAATACTGAACTGCATTTAGGAAGAATTCAACAATAAGCAAGGACCCTTTTCTCACCTACTTCTGTTAGTCATGCTTACCTATTTAAAAATATCTTGCTTTTTCAAAGCTGAAGGTGGATATCAACATTCAAATATATACTTCAAATAAGAGATTAGAATAGGCAAGCAGTTAACTCAAGCTAAATATCTGCACAACAAATGATAAGACTAGCAGGCACACAAGTATGCCTTCTCAGACACGAAGCCATGGGTGGTATTTCCCATCTTCTCAAAAACGAACCCAAAAGCCCCCCGTTGTGTTTCTTCCAGCCTTCGGATCACTTTGACACTGCAGCTTGTAAAGGCACATAGTATACAAGCAGCAAAACAGACCAAAAGAACGAGACTGAATCAAGATGAGAAATGCTGTATACTTCTTGCTGTTCCATCCACTCTGCTAGAGACAGCAGAAGAAACAGCTCTTGATCTGCTCAGCTTAACACTGAAGTGGAAGCAGGCTATTCTTCCAATAACTCCATCTTCAGAAATGGTCATAGTGCAGAAAAGCTATGCATAGCATTATCAAAAGTAGATCTGTAGGATGGCTCAGGGTGTAAATTTTTTTTAAGGCATCTGGCATATTTTGAATAGAAGAAAGCAGATATTTTAATATCCTGTAGATGTCCAAACTGCAAGGAAAAAGGAAATTTGCTTTTCAAAGAGAAAACCAGTTATGAGTCTATATACAGTGCTAGAGAAGCAGCTGTTGTCAGTGCTGGGGAAACTGTACTTCCTCCAGCTAGTTCTCCAGACTCTTGTCTATACTTTGTGAGTCTGGAATAGGGGTGTGCAATATTTTTGTAAGCGGTATTGTTGGCTCAAGTCTATTGGACCCCAGGAAAAAAAAAAGGGATTTCCGAAAAATCCCAGATCCCAATACTGGCATGATATTCAGATCTGGGATTTTTCAGAAATCCCAAATTTTTTGCAGTCCGATAGACCCGAGAAGAAAAATGTAAGTTTTTTAAAAAGCGAGCCCAATCCTGGGGCTGGCTGGGCTTCTCCACAGGCACAGCCAATCCTGGCTGGGCTTGCTTCTCCTGCAGTTCAATTTAAGCCAATTTGCAGGAGAAGCCAGCACAAAGCCCAGCCTGAAGGGAGCCATCTGCTGCCATAGGCACAGCAGATCCTGGGGCTGGCTTCTTCTTCAGCTCGGTTTAAACTGGGCTGCACAAGAGACCAACCCCAAGCCCATGGGAATAGTCTGCTCTCCACCGGCACAGCTGATCCTCAGGCTGTCTTCTGCAGTCCCTTTAAAATGTAAAGGGACTGCAGAAGAAGCTGGACAAACAGCGGAGCAGTGGGAGCAATCTGTTCCTGCCTCTCCGCTGTTTTCGGATCTACCCAGCAATTCCCAAATATAGCCAGGATTTTTTCAGAAGTTTTTTTCCAGTTTTCCCAAGAAACCCCAGATACATTTGGGATGCCAAAATCAACCCGAAAAATACCAGTAAGGTATTTTTCAAGTAGATTTTCACCTCAGGTAGATACAAATGCACACCCCTAGTCTGGAAAAAGCAATGTAAACATAAGATCCCGGAGAGGCAAAAAAGACGAAGTACAGACGAACAACACACACACAAACACATACAACCCTCCTTCCAAGTTTTCTTTTACATCTGCTTAACTGTGAATATTAACAATAAGTTTGCTTATTGAGAAATAATGCACAAGTCTCTGGTACAGATCCAGGCAGTTCCTAGCCGTGGTAATATTAGCTCATATTTGTGAAAAATGTTTTATTGATTTATGCCATCTGAGGGATCAGTAAGCCTTTAGACATCCAAGGGTGGTAAAGTTGGGACACACATCAACTTTGTACTAGATTGTGACCCTCTTCAAGACATCAGCAGATTTCCAAGTGCACAGGGACAGCCAAACAAATCCATGAACTGGCTCCCATGGATATAAAAATACAATTCTGTAGTATAAAAGTACATGAGCTGGAAGAGGAAAAGTCACACTCCTTAATCAATATATCTAATTCTCACCATGGCAAAATCTGTGGATACTTAAATTCAGAAACTAGACTCATGCCAATGCAGACCATTCCACAAACCTGAAAAACACCCCAGAAAAATTGGAAATCTAAGATAAAAATAAAAATTGGGGAGTTAAACCAGCTCAAAATAATAGAAGCTGTGCCTATAGCTTTAAGAAGTTAATTCCCTCAGTAGCTACACCAGCACAATAGTATCTCCAGACTTCAAGCCTTGGTTTCTGTCAGTACAAGGGAGGGGGAGGGGGCACAGCCCTTAAGGGCTGTTTTGGCCTTTGTGGGTGGACCGATCAGGTTTAGGCCTGCCAACAACCACCAGGTGAGTTGATATTATACAACTTTCATGACTCACCCAGGCCCAGCTGCTTGCTACTGTTCAGCAGCAGGCAGCCCATGAAAGCCAGTGTGGTATAGTGGTCAGAGTTTAGATTAGGATCTGGAGACCAAGGTTCAAATCACCACTCTGCCACGGATGCTTATGAGGTCACCTTGGGCCAGTTACACACTCTAAGTCTAACTACTTCATGTGGAGGTTGTGAAGATAACATGGAGAAGAGAATGATGGAAGCTGCTTTGGGTCCCCACTGTGGAGAAAAGCAGAGAATAAATGAAGCAAAGTAAATAAATAATCACCATAGCTGAAGGTGGGGGCAGATAACAGGTAGGTTAGTTGGGAAGGAGAGAAAGAAGCAGAGAAAGATAAGGACATGTGAGTTGTAAGGAGAAGGGAAAGAAGAAGTAGTGTGGGGAAGAGATACAGCTGAAAATAAAATGGCCCCCCACAAGTCCTTTGGTTCCCCCCTCATATTTATTCGATTTTGCTGCAAACCAACAAAATAAATGTTTAGTCAGCTATTACATGCATGCTTGCTCAGGAAATGTATCAGCCTTTACCCTTACTACTCATAGGGTTGCCAGCCTTCAGTGGTGGCTGGAGATCTCCTTGGATTACAACTAATTTCCAAGCGCCCTGGAGAAAATGGCCACTTTGGAAGGTGGACTCTATGGCATTATACCCTACTGAAGTCCCTCCCTCCCCTCCCCAAACCCCTCCCTCCTCAGGTTCCACTCCCCAAATCTCAGGTATTTCCCAACCCAGAACTGACAACCCTAACTACTCTCTTCTCCCATGCTTTTAATTCAGGAAGATTTCAGTGAAATTTGCACTTCTACTTGCGAGGCCCGTTTGCGGGGAGGGCGGGGTAAAAATACCTAAATAAATAAATAAAATAAAATAAATACTTGTTTTGAAGGTTCATGGAGACACTAGTCATATGAATTAGCACTTCAGGTGGGCTCTATACATGCAGCTGTTGCAATCTGCACAACAAAAGTGGCTGACATTCTCAACCAGGCTTCTTAGATCAGGAATGGGCTCAAAAATGGACATAGTAGTGTTCCCCTTATATGTGGTTCATATAAGGAGAAGTGTAGACCCACCAAAGACATAACAGCTTGGATCCACACTAGCATTTCCATAGGCATCCATGGAGTGATTCCCCCTCCCCACAGCAGCCCAATATGACCCCACCAATCCTGTTTCTGGGGAAGAGGGAACCCCTAGGGCCAAGTTTTCAGGAGGGGGCATCAGGCTGCCGTGGAAGGGAAAGGTAGGAAGAGTCATACTCTGTGGAAGCAAGACCCAATGAGTCCTTTGCCTATGGAAATGCTAGTGTGGATCCAAGCAAGTAGTTCCCAATCATCATCTTATAGTTAGGACCTTTAGAGGGCCT